CAGAGTGATTTTAATTTAGTGAGAGTCTGTCTCAAAATATTTTTTAACTAAAAAGAGACTAGAGATAGGGGCTAGGAGTAGAAGACTTTGAGGGATGCACCTCACTCCAGTTGCCTCAGTAGCTTATTGCCCTACCACACATACAGACACACAGACACACACACACACACACACACTCCATCATGGAAAATAAAATAAAATCTTAATGATTAGTAGTTTATGAGTGTTGAGAACATCCACCAGCAAGAGACAGTGTAGGTGGGGAGACTTAGGTCTCTGAAAGTGTAACCTCCATGAAACAATTATGGTTTTACTTTTCAGCCTCAAATGACAATGTCTACATTTTAACCTCAGATATGTAAGTCTCAGATGATAAGAACATAAGGATGGAAGAATTTATCTACAGTTATCTCCAGAATCCATATTCAGACTACTAAAAGATACAGGCATATGCATTATTCTCTTCCTTGGTACTCCATTCCACAGAGCCATCTGTAAGTCAGACAAGGATTTGGCAGTCATTCTTTTCTTGGTCTATTTCGCTTTTATTTGTTCTTGTAGCATCAACGGGCAATCACTATGCTGTCCATCCAGTCAGATTCTAGATTTTTAACTGAGTTTAAAAAAGAAACCTTCAAATAATTAAACAAGCTTCCAAATCTCAAAGTATTATAAATGAGAACATTCTGCAAGATATTTTCATCACTAACCAAACACTGTCATTACAAACTAAATGCATCGCTTCCTTAACCATTATTTAAACAGATTACAGAAAATTCCATAAATAACTGAATTTCAAAAGATAGCACTGTGAAATCCATTCTGTTACAAGAAAGTCTTAGTCCAACAGAAGTCCTTTATCAATGGATGGAGCTTGAAATGTATGTGCTATGTTGTGTAGTTGGATGACATTAATTGGATCAGTGAAGGATCAGGCTTTGCAGTGTTCCTCGAGATGGGTTTGTGCCTCTGAATCTTGCTGCGTCAGGGATTTCTTTACTGTAAGCGTATATGAGCAGGAAAAGGATCATTTCTTTAGAATACACTGATACACCTTTAGAAGGTCTACAGGGTCTTCAGGAGAGCAGAATGGGGTTGGGGAAGCAAAGTCAAACAGAATCAGCAAGGCTTGCTTCCAGGGGACAGTAAGTGTTGTCCACACGACACCAGGGAACTTAGAGAGCAGTAGGCTCACACTTTAGTGTGAAAACAGAACTTTTCCCAGTCAGCCCCCTGGTGTCTCAGTCATTCTGTATTTTCCTTTCCATCTTCTACATGACAAAGACCTCATTGCAAAGGGTTTCTCTCTTTAGAGTTCTTTATTTCAAAACCCAAGGATACCACTTTTAGCCCCGTTCTGTAAACATCATGAGCTCTGGGAAGCTTTGCTGTGCGTAAAACAAACAACACTCATCTTATAAAAACATTTGGATTGGTGTTTACTTTCCTTCATAATATTCGGGTAGTGAGAAGCACAGTTCTTGCTTTTCAAGGAAAAGGAGAGACTACGAATGTTCAGTCTTCTCTTTGGTGGTTTGTGATATGTATGTAAGGTCGTGTGTAAAAAGTGCAGGTGCACATGCTTATATGTGGTGGCCAGAAGCCAACATGAGTGTCTTTCCTAGTTGTTCTATACCAATTGGTTTATATAGTTACTCGTTCATTAGTTTTTTGTAATCTCATGTTTGTTATGTTGCGTGTGTGCAGTGCAGGTACCTATATACTGATATGTATATCTAATCATATGTGGGACTAGTGCTTATCTACTTCCTGATTTTTCATGGAGGCTCCAGCTCACTTGTACAAACAATACTTAGCTAGTAAACAGAGTGAGCACAAGATTATTTATGTGAAACACATTTAAATGTAAGCAGTAGAATCCACTTCACTTGGCCTCCATTGCCTAAAATCAGGACACTCGTTTTAGCACAAAGCTTTGTCATTTCTAAAAATAGCTTAAGCTACATCTTACCTTCCTAGAAATTTTTTTCTTGTTTTGACTTATTGAATAAAAAATGAAGTGCTTTCTTTTTCCCTCCCTTCCTTCCTTCTTTCTTTCTTTCCTTCCTTCCTTCCTTCCTTCCTTCCTTCCTTCCTTCCTTCCTTCCTTCCTTCCTTCCTTCTTCCCCTTCTTCCCTAGTAGGAGCTGTGTGCTTAGCACCAAGAAGACCCAAGAGGCTGTCCCAAAACTAANTTCCTTCCTTCCTTCCTTCCTTCCTTCCTTCCTTCCTTCCCTCCCTCCCTCCCTCCCTCCCTCCCTCCCTCCCTCCCTCCCTCCCTCCCTCCCTTCCTACCTTCCTCTTTCCTTTCTTCCTTTATTTTTGTCTTTACTTTCTCAGATGTCATCTTACAGAATTAGAGTGTAAATGTGGCTGGTTTGAACATAAACTACAGAGGGTTTCAGGTAGCTGTGATGCCATTTACCACATCTTATGAAGTGGGGCTGTTCTGAAGACATCCCTGTCAGAGGCTTAGTCTGGGCAGTTGTTTCAACCATGGACACTCATGGAGGTTAGAAAGTCATCTTCATTCTGACTTTCCCTAAGTTGATCCATACTCTACTCCACAAAACAGCAGAAACTCAGGGTGTCCCTCTCCTGTCATCATCTCTTCATTTTCTAAAGCTTGCTGTACCCTCCCAAATTTTTCCTCTGTATTCTTTCTAATGTGATGTCACCCAGACTGTGTGCCTGGTTAGCCCCCACTGTCTGCTTCTTTTGATTCTTGTCCATATCTTTTCTCATAGTTTCTATGCACAGACTCTTTCATTTGAAACATGCTCAGCCGAGCACACACTAAAGCCAACAATGCCTTCTGATACAGACTTTGCAATGATCTCAGTTTTGCAAAATGAGATTCCTTCATTGCTTGTTCAAAGCATATTTCTAGCTGCTGAAGGCAAGCTTCTCTAATTCAGTATTTTAAATTGATTTTTGAATTCAAATGGAAAGCTTTGAAATCAAATACTTTTACAGCCAAAAGAGAGCCTTGAAATCACATGGAAATTAGGATTAAGGTCCAACTCCACTGCTGAAGGTACCATGCATCTTCAAACAATCGGCTGAACTCCCGGAGCAGATCTGTAATCTGGGAGAAGTAGTATTTCTTCCTCCTTCACAGGACTCCTGTGAGCACCAAGAACTAATACAAACACAGCTTTTGAGAATGATACAAACGCAAGATGTCACAGGCTTCTGCAAGCTCCTCTGTTCCACTCCTTCTATATCAGTGCTGCTTCAGAAAACCAATCGACTTAAGACCTTTGCATGCTTGTGCTTCCAGCGCCAAGTAGTCATCTGACTCCGACAGTTTGCTGCGTTCCGACTAACAGCCCAGACTCAGAGGAACCCACAATGCAAGGGCTCAATCTACAAGGTGGCTTCCACTTCAGAAGCCAGACACAAAAGGGGCACCCAGGCTACTTATGCTCCAAATGTAGGTTTGCCCAACACACACTATACTTCAAGTTTTATCATTTGCCAGAAAAAATCAGAAATACACATACTTAGTGGTTATGAAATTATAAAGGATACAAAGAGAAGAGATGATGGGACTGTGTGTGAGGAAGGGTGACAGAACACCCTAGCTCTTGGGGAACACCAGCTTCTTCGTGCACAGTTCCACACACACCTTCCCTGCACACATTCCTAGAAGGCTCCCCCCCCCACAGACCTTCCTTGCACACCTTTCTAGAAGGTTTCCCTACACACACCTTCCCTGCACATCAAACGTGTAACAACTTCATCAACACACACAAAAGCCTTAATTCTTTGTCATGGAGTTTGCACACCATGGTCTCTAGCTACATTTTCTTCTACCTAGAGGTCAGGGAGGTGTGTGTAACTTAAAATCTTCAGACATTACTCAGTAATTTGACCTCTTGACCAACCCTGTCTAAAGACTGTCCAGGAGTCTTCTCAAGTCATCTCACTTCTATGAATGTGAACATGTGTAACATGGAGGCTGGGCTTGTTGGGGTTTCTGTCTCACCTGGTCCCCCCAGCCGTTTAGTCCCAGAGAAAAGGACAGATTGTCTGCATTAATTATAAACTGATTGGCCCATTAGCTCAGTCTTCTTATTAGCTCTTGTAGCTTATATAAACCCATTACTCTTATTTATGTTAACCACATGACTTGGTACCTTTTTTGGTAGTGCATATCACATCCTGCTTCTTCGGTGATCTGGGCAGGAGTGGGAGGAATGGGTTTCCTCCTTTCCAGAATTCTGTTCTCATTGCCCCGCCTGTACTTCCTGTCTGGTTGACCCGCCTATACTTCCTACCTGGCCAATCAGCGATTATTCAAAACATGATTAACAGAATACAGAGAATTCTCCTGAACCAAACATGGGAGACGAGCTGGCTATCAATGAATAGGAGACTCTCATCATGCAGGAAATGCCAGGGTTTCAAGAGCTATATACCAGAAAATGTGAAAAAAGGGGGTACCATAGCTATTGCTATAGCCAACCCTCACTACAGGCTGCCACCCTTGTCATCGAGTCAATTTGCATGACTCTCCAGCCTTTCTCTAACCTAAACTCCCCACCTCCCCAGAGAGTTCTATTGAGACTTTCCTTACCTCAGCACAGTCAGTGTTTCAGGTCCCTCAGGTGCAGATCCGTGTCCACCTTTTATCTTGGATCTTCCATTCCTGGGAGCTGATAATACAGCAATGCTGCTCTTCCTTCTAAGGTTCTGTCCACCGTTCCTTGTCCTATTGGAAGCACACCAAGGAGAGAGAAGCCTTCCTTAATGAGAATGGGACCTACAGGGAGTTTTATTCTCCAGTGTGCACATGTATTATTACTGCAATAAAAAGTTTTTTTTCTTTTGTGTTTGGAATTTGAGTTACATCAACTGCAGAATTTTAACTGCTCAAAACATATCACAAATTTACATATCTATATAATCCAATGAGCATGAGAAGCTTTTCTGGAATTAAGTCCAGTATTTTACAGACAGGATACCCAGTAATTTCATTTTCCTGTCTCTTGACAGTTTCTCTGATCACTATGAAATTGATCTCTAAAGATGATTCTTCACTACAAAATGACCAATCTCTTGAAGTGTGAGCTGCGAGTCTACTGCAGTGCAGCTGGCTCAGAGCGATTCATGTGGAGATCCTGGAGAAGATCGCTACTTCTCATCTATGCATCATTGAGATTTACTAAGATGAGAAGGTAAGTTTTCATAAGCCATTAGGGGTCTGCGGTATGAAAGAAAAATGCCCATGTCTTTTGCTTTTGTGAAACTAGAAAACTGAGATATATAAATCCCCCTAGATTTTATCTGTACCTCTTGTATCAGGGTGAATTGCCTCAATAAGCTAAGGTGCATGATATATAAGGAACAAGCTTTGTCACTGCTTGGGAGTCTGAGAGAGCTTCTGAGCCAAATGCCTGAGTACTTTTCCTAGGAAGATTTGGCTCCATGCATAAAATTAAGCTTGTTCCCCAAGAGTGTATAAGTGAGAATAATTTTCAGATATTACTACAGGCTAGGTCCTGTGTGCATAATCAAGTTCCCATGTGTGTCCTGCTTCAAAGGGAAGCATTCTCGCTGAGTGCGTACACATAGCTACATGGCAGTCTTGAAAACAATCAGGGGACTCGGTAAGACTTTTGGCTCCTCAGGAGTCAGTACAAATCAGGTATTTATTTTGAAGACAGCGTCTAACTGGTTTGACCATCTGGGTTCTGGACTCCTGTTTGAACAATCCTGCTGCCCCAGTCTCCTGAGTTACTGAGACAACCTATCAGTTTCCCCACTTATATATGCTTTGAGAAATGTTTTGCTTCTTCTTTGGAAGTATAGCTTGTGAAATTTAGCATGAGATGGACTTCACAAGAAAGAGGAGTAGTTTTATTATATCTCTTTTAGGTCATGAAATGAACACTATTCAAAAGAGTCATAACAGAGGTCCACTTTTGGTCCTTTCGTGTGCTGGGGAGCCTGGTCCAGTGCACTGGTAACTAATTGGTTAAGCATCAGCCACATGTTGTATACCTTGTACATTCTGGAGACACCTGCAGCTACAATTGCTTGTGCAGATATTTTTATGCTGCCCTTTTTTTTATGCCAGCCTTTTTTGCTGACACCTCCACTCTGGATGGGAGGACATAGCACTGACTTTTGGTAAAGTAAGTTTGAGAAGCCACTACTTGTACATGACGCAGGCTGAGTGCCTGTGGGAAATGCTCTGTAATGACAAACGAGCATCATCAGGGGCAGAAGAAAGGGCTGTCTATGCGACTGTTCTATGTTAACTTTGTGCATCTCTGATTATCAAAATAAAATTTCCTAGCTGTTGAAAGAGCTAAGGGTATTGACCTTCTAAGTTTACTCTGGCATATTCTAACGACATTTTGATTAATTAGTTAAGGTCATTGTTTTTCAGGTACTCTTGCTCCAATCTTGAACAAATACACCAACCTCCTCTGACAACTCTTGAGACTCTTACTTTCTAATATTCTGTGCTACACAGAAGAAAACGAATGACAGGATTGCATGCATTTTACACATAAATCTCCATTTTGTGTAATTCACAAAGGTTTGTTCTTTCATCAGAAAGAATTAGAGATGCTAGAAGTAATGAGGCTATTTGATCCAAATTCCTTAACTTACTCCAACACTCAGAAAAGAGCTTTGTGGCAAGCTTTGTTAAATCAGAAGAGACGTTAGATCAGTGCTGAGGTTGGAATAGCAAAATATTATTGTATTAGTCTGCCTGGCTGCCATAAGAGAGAACACCACCGGCTGAGAGGACTGGGCAGTGAAGGCCTGTTCCCCAGTGCTGGAGGCTGGGATCCAGGATAAGAGGCAAGTGGAGCTGCTGTTTGCTTCAGCTCCCTCTCCAGACAGCAGACAGGCCCTTCTCACTTTGTCCCCAGAGTGTGCTGTTTCTCTGTGCACACTCCTAGCTGCGCCCTGTTATTGCAGAGCACGCTAGTTACATTGGACTTCAGTGCCACCATCATGTCCCATTAAACGTGTTTCCTGAAGGGACAATCCCCATATGTACCGCAGTCCTGGGGCTGCTGTACTGTACAATATTTTCCATGAGTGTGAAAGTCTTTCCTCGATGCTATAATATTTTATGAACAGTCAAGGTCTTGTTCAATCTCAGGAGTCTCTCCATATATTGCATAATTTCAGAAATATTTATAGTACAAGTTTTAAACACTATATTGTGTTCCCTGATATTTATATATTAGCATCTTGGGCACTGATTTTGAGCTAAAAACCCAAATCCTCTGATTGACTGCCACTCTGAGGGCATAGACCAAGCCTTTTCTGTCTCTGCTTCTCTCCCTTCTGTCTTCAGTATCTTCATGAGCAAAAGCAGCCCTCGTTGTTTGGTTCCGGGAATAATGATTCCTCATGCTCTTCCTTTTTGAAGGGCTATTTTCCTAATACGCAATTTTCCACACTCAGTTTGATGCTCAGTTGACCCACGCAACCTTCTTCCTTTGTCTCATTTCCCACTGCCATTCCTGACCCTTGACTCAAATCTACTGCAATCTTACACTGTTTTGTGAGAGAAGTTTTACTTTCACCTTTGTATAGCAAACTTTAGGAAGTCACAACCTTTTCTAGCTCCCATGATTATGCTTACTGCTGATTGTCTAGTTGGCACAGTTGAATGATGATTAGGGATGGGAAAGAAAGAATGGCTGCTGTGTGGCATTTCTGAAGTCTATATCTTCCTCTGTACTAGACATTGATTCTAAATTTGATGTGCATGTATTATGATTTTATTTAACTCTACTCAACAATTGCAGTTTGCCTCATATCGCATTGAACCACAGGTAGACAAGGATCAGCTATTCAGCTTACAGGAAGATGGACTTCCCAGATGAAGTCTCTACTGTGAGAGCCAGCTGCTTGCTAGCAGGTTCCTGAAACATCTTTAACTGTCGTCTCCATAATACACTAGGGATTAAAGTATCACGAATCATGGGGCCTCGGAGATAGCTCAGTGCATCAAGCTACTTGCTGATAAGCCTGACAACCCAAGCCCACCCCTGCAACATACACATAGAAACAGAAAACTGACTGCTCCAAGTTGTACTATGACCACCATGTTGGCACCGTGGCAAGCATATGATTCCAGAATACATACAATAAAGAACCAAATATACAAAAGAAAAAAACACACCGTCCCATTAATTGTAAGGTCCTCTGCGAGCTGCCACATTGATACACTGAGATAATTTTGTTATCCTGATGAAGTCCTTTCAGGGCTCTTTTTATTACAGTTTCTATCTGTGACTTGGGGTATCAGTCTGACCTTCATGGTTATTACAAAATACCAGGAAAATCACCTGAAATGGAAGGCTTTATTGGGTCTCATTATTTCAGAAAGTTTTCAGCTGAGGAGTGGGCAACAGTGCAACAGAATGGAATTGGGAGAGCAAGGCTATTTGCTTGCTTAATGGCAACCATGAAGGAGAATAAGACAGGGAGAAACCCAATACAATACACAACATTCAAAGAGAAAGTCCCTGTGGGCCTACTTTATCCCACCCTGCTGCATGTCCCTCAAATGCCATTATATTATACAACTATCAAGAAGATATGAAGCCAACAAACAATTGGGTGAATGTGCTAATGATCTAATCAGCCCTCATGTCTGCCAATTAAGTCCTTGAGTTTCGGTAGACACCACAAATTCAAACCTAAACACTAGTATGCTATTCTTTTCAGTCTGTGGATGATTAAGGTTAGATGAAAAAGGCCTCTATGGTGGACTTCACAGTCATCAACCTTACTGCTCAAAAGGATAACATTCAACAGCTGCTACCACAGTAGTGTAAAGTAAGTTTATCTTCTGCTACAAGAGGCTGAAGGGTAGGCAGCTGGGGGCAATAACAAAGAAGATTCTCTTAATTTTCTACCTCAGCTTGAGGGTCTTCGGCATGAAGGGCAAACAGAAAAGTGACAGATAAACCTTGGCTTGGAAGTACTGTGGTTCAGAAGCAGCCATTCCTCACCAAAAGGGAAGCAGGAGGAGAAACTCTTAGCTTCCACAGCTACTTATTGTGGACAACAGTTCCTGGTAGAGCAGTACAGCAGGCCAAAGGTAATGTCCATGTTGGGTCTTAGAGAGGTGTGTCAACAGCTTCACCTCCTGGACCACCCAGCTCTTAATTTTTCTTTCCTGGAAAATTATTGGAGAAGAACATTTTTTCCTCTTAGAGAGAGTATGAACTTCAGAAGGGTGGAGGAGCTTAAGTGAGCACAAATACAAATCAGAGGCAACCTGATGTGAAGAAGCATGGTTAGAGAAAACACGTGCTTTTCATATTGGATGACACACGCACATCTGCATTAAGTTTTTGAACCTTGAAATAAGAATTTGAAAAGAAAGAGAAAATTATTTTCCTTTCATAAGGCTTCCGAGAAAAAATTCTTTTCTCATTTGTTAAGATAAAAAGGAGCTAATAAGCTACAATAAGAATGCATTTCCCCTTTCATTGGCCTGAACTTCCTGTTGAAAAAGCAGGAGACACTCATTTTATTTTTTTAAAGCTCATTCTCCGCCCTCCTGACACACACTCTTTCTTCATTATTTTTAATTGTTTGAAGAAATTTATTTGGGAGCTAGAGAATATGAGAGTGTAATGCTAACATAAAAATTAAAACACAGTAAGAAGTTAAGAAAATATCACTATTTTGTAGCGTTGGTGATAGACAATATGATGTGAAAAATAACAAGGAAAAATAGATATGCAAGTAGAAAGTAAAAATTATACAATTGAGGCTTCCTGTTACTTTTCTTTAGAAAGCATATATATTCATTTTATAGATTTTCCTATTTCATTTTAAAAGCTATACGTGATTTACTTTTATTTCAATACAATTTAAATTAAAATATAGTAATATAACTTTACCCCTTCTCTTTGCTGTCTCCAGCCCTCGCAAGTTCCCTTCCGCCGACTTTTCCATGACCCTCTCTCTAATGATGATAGCCTCTTCTTCCCTGATTACTTCTGCTTTACACATACACATATACAAATACTTATGTACATTAATATATAATTACAACCTGTTGTTATATAACACGTTACTTCAAAACTTAGATTTTTAAAAAGCAACAAAACATTTTAATCTTTTTAAAATTATGAGTCAAATTTATAATTGTGTTTGTTAAATATGTCTGGTTTAGGTTGCAGTTAGG